ATTTTGACGCTTTCAATATTTAAAAACAAAAAAATACATTTAAATGCATTTCTTTTTTATGCCTGCAATTGTTGTGAGTCAGTTGAATTTCATTTGACTGCGTGCTACTTTTATTTTTGCTTGTACGATATATAAATGTATATTAAATTTATTTATCGCTGCTTTTTTTTTTGTCCTCCAGCACATGCAAATTGGCAGTAGAGTTGGGCGCATTGTTTGGCATTTGTCGGTTGGATCGCCGCCATTTTGTAAATCACGCTTAACTTCATGAACTCCTGCAGTCGATGATGGCGATTGCGATGGCGTCAATGGCGTCATTATCCTCATCGTATGCTCCTGCTCTTGATTCTGTTGTTGTTGTTGTTTATTTAGCGAGTGTTTAATTGGTTTAAATTACACACACACACACTCGACGCCTGCTTCATTACGCCTGCACATGTGTGGGTGTGCTTGTATGTGTGTGTGTGTGTGCAAATGCAATTGCCACTGGATGAGTAAAATAAAAAGGATATATATACGAGGGAAAAAAAATGCAATGTGAGCGCGCGAAATAAACATTTTTAATTGTTTATTTTCACTGATTACACGCTTAATAATAAAAATAAATAACATTTATTTGCCAGCTCAACATACACCCAACACTTCATATTGTTTAACCTTCTTTCCCACTCAATTGATTGTATTGCCATTTTATTGTTAAATAACTTTTATTTACGCTTTGTTTGCCCTTTTAGTTACTTAATTATTATTTGGTGGATGTTGCCATCACTCTCCACCCACCGCTCCTTCTCGACCGACTGTTGATTAACGTGGTATTAATTACAATTGCAAACATTTCTGTTTGCGAATTAAAATTATGACAACTATAGCAAAATTTCAGAGCAAAAAAACTGCTGCAAACTTTCGGGCTGGGCGTGAAATATAATATTTTAATTGCAAGTGGCATTAAAAGGTGTTGCCGCGGTGTAAATAATATTAATAATGGCATGTTATTCGAGCGCACAATCGAGCACGCATATCGTTATTTTTTTGTTTGTTAAAAATATGCAACAATTTCCTTTTGCCCGCCTCTTTTTATTGTAAATACAGGCGCATATGTATGTATCTACATATGTAAGTATATAACATTTGCGAGTACTTCGAGAGCTCCTCCAAAAATGAATTGTTCTGCAGGTAATGAAATCCACCGCTCTTGTGAGTACTCTTTGCTGCTTAATTCGTTTAATTTAAAAACCGTATTTGTACTTAATATTCAAGTGAAAATAGTTTTAATAGTTTCGAAAAAATGTAATTGTTTAAAAAGTTCGTTTCATAAAAGCACTCTTTTCTTTAAAACGTTTCAAAGTTGCAGAGTAAATAATAAGGGATAAACTTACCTCCAAATATGGAGTACCTCATCTACATTTAAATAAGTATATGTACATATATGTATGTATGTATGTATTTCCGAGTTAAATAATGCGTGGTATAAATTAAAATCAGTAAATCGAAAAATGTAACCTTCTACTTGGTAAACAGTAGATGAGTTTAATCTTTTTAAACTAACATGTTCGCAGTGCAGCAAATACTACTTAGTTATTAATTATTCCAATACGACCATACATTGTCCAATAAAATCTGATTTAAATTATCTGCTTACTGATTTGCCTCGCCCATAACCAACTCGCAAAGTACAGATAACTCACAGCAGCATTAGTGGAAAGAAAAAAAAAACTGAAAACTAAGTGATGTGAAACAAAGTCGCGCCTGCTATTGACCTTTTGCATGACACAAATTGATAAGCCTGCTCTGCGATTTCACTGGAGAGTCACGACAACAACAACAACAACAACAACAATACCAACACTGCCTCTCGCAACCAAATCGTTTGAAACGTTGAAGAAAGCTACTTGCCGCACTCACACATACGAGTACAAATACATACATATGTATGTATGTACTATGTATGTATGTATGTATATACGCATAGTTTGACCGTTGGCCTGTTTATTTATTAAAATCAATTTTTTCTGGCATTTATAGGGCAGCAATACACACAAATAAACCACAACTCGAATTCAAGTCATGTGTTTCAGTTCGGGGAAAAATGTGGCAAAAAAAATTCACCGCTACGCTTAGTTTACGATGAGTTTTATGCTAAGGTCTGTTTTAAATTTTAAAGAACTTTCCACTTCTTTGCCTTTTTTTCTCGTTTTGGGGTTAGACCAAACAGATTTTAAATATACAAGTATTTATATAGATATCGAAAGTTTTGACTGCTTGCTTATTTCAATGATCTTTGGGTTGAACATTCATTGCTGGAAGACACTTTATCCAATCTAAACAAAATCTCTTTTCCTTTTACGTTTTTATGTTTATATAATACTTTAGCAGTATAGTATAATATCATAAAATGAATACAACTATTTTGCTTGGCGCACACATCTAACGTTAACGATACAAGAGTGGACATAGGGTATTTAACTTTCACCATTCCAATTGATACAATAGACACTCTTTCATGTTAGTGTAATGGATCATGATGGACAAGAATAATACCCATTAAAAATATTAAAATCTGAGTAAATTAATTCAGAGATAAAAGAAGCTGTTCATTCAGAGTTATGCATATCAGTTTTCTAGTACACGATATTCTAACGTGTGGTTGGTTCATTTATTGGGGTATTAGGCTACAGATAGCATAGATATTGTATTTTTTGTGAAACGGCCCTTATGAATTTTGATCAGCTTTGTAATCAGCATGAAATTCCCATAATATGCAAATTGTCGCATTCATTTAGGTTCTTTTCTCTGCCCGCTCTAATATGGTTTGTCCCAATCATAACAAATGTGAGCTGGCAAATAATAGGAATAGTACATACATATGTATGTATATTTGTACATACATATATGTATAAGTACAATGTATGTATCTGTATAGTAAATACTATATATTTAAAATGACTTTTATAGCCGCTTGGTTATTCGGGGCCATTAAATGTTAAATTATGATATATGGAGTGTAATTTGGGGTGTCTGATTCAGCTCTATACTATAGTATAATTGCTTTCAAAACAAAAAAATAAAAACCACCTACTGTATGCAAAACAGGCACAAAAATGCATTCACACATACTCGTCGAAAGGTAGAATGAATCCCACTGCCCAGAATGACATCACAAATTGTCTCCGCTGATAGGCCTGAAAAGAGCAAATAATGAAAACAATGCAGCAAAAAAATAAACTTGTTACAGCAATGACAAACATTAAATCACAATCACAAAACATATATACACACACACACACACACACACATGGTATTCATGTGTGTCAAAGGAAACAAGAACAGTCACATAATAAATTTGTTTTATATTTCGAACCTACTCGCATGTTTACATACAAACAATAGTGTGCATCTGAATAGATCCATCAACTGCTAAGCGAAGCAATTACATATTTGTTCAGAAATAACAATTACTTTCAATTGATAATCCGTTCACGCTTTAACTTTATGGAGAGTAATTTGAATATAGAAAATGTTCGATTTTCGAGATTTTTAGATTTTCAAATAATGCTAGAGCTGTTTCCTTACCTGTTGGCCTGTTTCAATATTTAAAGAATGTTACAGGCGTGCCAGCCTGACTCTTGTATACCCCCTGTACACCAATTTAATGAAACTTCAGAATTAATAAGGCACTGTTCAAAACTAAGAAATCATAAATTTGGTTAGCTTTTGTCATAAACAGAAAAGATGTCCTAATATGGGTGATTTGATCGATTCTATGGCAGCTATATTTAATAAAGAGGCTATGTATGGTTAGTAATAACACTTTCTCTTTCTTGGTACTAGATTTGGTCTAGTCTGTCTACACACCAAGTTTAATTTGCTTACCTGTTATGGTTCCTAATTTTGCAGTACACGGATTCAAAAACCACTTCAATTCCATTAAAGATTTTGATAGGGAAATATAGAATCTTCATTTATTTAAATAAGAGCTTAGCTTCTTAAGCATACAGCAAACGAGCTGAAAGCACACTAAAAGGTTTTTTTCCTCCCCGATTTCCTTATTCTAGTGTCCACCGTTGTAGGTTTGTATGCGTATGCATGGCACGTAGACCGAGGTTTGTTTTGATGGGTGGGGCTTAGAATATTAGCAATTGTTCAAGGCTGTTAATATATGTACAAGTATATAACGAAATCTATATGGGGAGTACAATGTAGCCACATTTTAAGCCGTTCTATAGCTTATTTTTATTGTTAATATTTGTAACTAAATACAAAGCTAACGTTAAGATGCATAAATTAATTATCTTCGTGATGTTATTGAAATGTTTTTAATTTTTTAAATATTTTAATAATATTTCAATCTATATATTTATATATTCACTAATCACTAAACAAAGTAACGTAATTTTAATGCTAATATGTAGTTCTGATTTATTTGTACAAGTAATTAGTTTTAAAAATATTTTTCAATCATCAAAAATAACAGGCAACCCAACCTTGGTGGCTCATAAGCTTCATAAAAAAATATTAAACGTCTTAGGGTGTGCCTCAGCAGTAAGTATTTGAGTGGCGAGCAGTTTTGATCTTGGATTCCAAAATTTAACGACCTTTATTCAGATCATACCTCGCTGATACCTCAGAGGTTGTTATATTTACTGTTGTTGTTGTTGTTGTTGTTATTATTCATCTGATACCTCCCTCCACACACATCTTCGCTGTTCCGTTTCCAAGCCGCGTTTCATTCTCACTGTCGTTTCTCGTAATACTGCTGCTGCTTCTGCTGCTCTTGTTGTTGTTGTTGTTGTTCTTGTCATTGTCTCGCCCGTTGGCAGCTCTATAAGTGTTGTTGTTGTTGCTGTTTCTGCTACTGGCTCGGGCCCGGGCTCGGGCTTGAGCTTGTCCGACGTTCCGTCTTTTGCCTCCACTTGAGCTCCAGTAGTTTCGACTTTTCGTATTCTCAACGAGTTCACTTCAAGTAGCGCCCGACTCGAGCATTTGACAGTTTCAGTTTTACTTTTAATGCGAGCACAACAAGTTAGTTGCCCGAATTGCGAAATAATTTTTATAATTTGTTTTTCGCTTCAATTACAACTACTTTTCATATTGTGGTGGCAGTGGCAGTGGCTCTGGCAGTTGTTGTTGTTTTTTTAAGCCATTTCCTATTTGTGTGATTTTTTTTACGAGTGCCCAACAATTCGCTTTTCAGGCTAAGCCAATAGCATTTAAATGCCATTGTTGCGACCGTGTTTGTTGTTTAAATTTGAATAGTTAGCCAAATTGTTTATGGCTTCAATGGAATTTTTGTGTGGCCTCAGTTAAATGCTAATGTTGTTTGTTCACAGCTCAAGTGTACAAATATTCTTGAAATCATCCTTTCCTCCTTCTGCCTATCGATGGCTCCAGTTACAATTCTCTGAATCTCTCTTTACAGCAAAACATGAAGCTCTTCGGTCTGCTCTCCCTGCTTGTGGGAGCCCTGGCCATTGGCCAAATCAATGCAGCGGGCAATACCCATCTGGTCTGCTACTATGACGGCGGCAGCTTTGTACGCGAAGGTATGTAGGCCACTCTATGTAGGACTCCACCAAGGAGATAGAAAATAAGAGTACTTAGTTGACGAGCATTGGCAATAATATCCCCACATGCTCTGTAGATTTTATTTTTAGCGAGCATTTCATAGTATTAGCAACTGCAAAAGGTTATCAACAATGTGTAGCCACTGTTGACGTGTGCGAAAAATGACTGCTAATTTGATTAAAAATCGTTTTCGAGCGAATTTCGTGAGTGGCAGAGTCAACAGCATCGAATCCAATTAGAGGCTTGCTCTTACTTCACCCTCGTCGTCCATCGGCTTGTAACTGGCCCGGCCAACCAGGCGGCCCATGGACCAGGGGGGAGGCAGATAATGGCAGGCGGCAGTGAAATTGGGGCCACAAGATCACGTGAAACAGCAAACAAATGTTTCACGCAATTGCAAAATACAATGCACAGTGTGTGTGTATGTATTTATGCATATACTTGTATGTACATACATACATATACATATACATATACATTTGTATTTGTAGCGCAAATGCAATTTACAGCAAACTGATGGAAATGGAAATGACGCTGGCTGCGAGGAGGCTGCTGGTCTCTATGGGTGGGGGTGGGGGCGCGCGGCCGGAGGACTTAGGGAATTGAACGAAACGGAATAGAAAACAAGCCCAGGCGTTTCTCGGAAGAAATAATAAAACCCACACGACAGACAGCGGCGCTAATTTTTGTTAATTGAAATTGGAATAATATGGCGCGACAGCTAGACAGTAGTGTGTGTGTGTGTGTGTACGGGAGTTGAGTCGGATACGCTGGCGTCGGGAGGGGGCGGGAGGGGTTACTGAATAAACGACTTGGCGAGCGATGCGTCAACAAGTTACGCCGCTCTACCTTGAGCCGAGACCTGTGATGCCTGCCTGCCCGCCTGCCCGCCTGGCTTTGTTTGAGTTTGTTAATTGATTATGCAAACACTTTCGCAGGTCTGCCAAAAACTGGGCGCGCCGCGGCAATTAAGTAAAACCAAAAATAAATGTACAAACATAAATTTTCACAAATTTGCTCCGGCTTTATCAACTTTATTATATCAGAGTGTCATAAAATAATTTTTAAAATACGGGTGAATAAACATTTCGAAGCATCCGGCAAGCAGCGCACTGATTTAAAATGAACAATTAACTTAAAATAATAACAGAAGGGAAATGTGAAACCTGAGAATACAGAAATTGGAAGAGCCGGTGTGACCAGTTAATTAAGTAAACAAATAAACAAAGATACATTTTTTAAAAGAGTTTTGCAAAGAAACATTTTCTAAGCATTTCGAAATATCTGGCAATCCATGTGTTGACTTACAGTCAAATAAAAGGTTAGGCATTTACATCAGATGATTAGGAGAGAGGTATTGTAGAATATAGAAGCACAAGTCAATTATTTATTTAATGGTCGACTAACAAGTTGCAATGAGAAGTTCAACAAAATTCCATAAAAGTACAATAAAATCAAATCTCCAATCCAACTAGTCAGAGAAAATAGTAGAGCCTAACAAATCATTCTCCTTATTCATTCTGATTATTGTCATAGAAAAAGCTATGCTCTGAGTTAATTAATCAATTAAATGTTTGAAAAAAAAAAAAACCAATCACAGCAAATAAAGTGTTATTTTATTACATTTGTAGAATTCTAAGTAGAATCACTTAAAATAGCTCTTAAACTGAGGCACTAGCCAGTAATTGTGTGTGTGTGTGTTTTTTTTATATATTGAATCTATATTTAACAACAACGAATAAAGGTCCATCAACCAGTTTACAGCTCTACCCAAATGTTGGGTCTGTTGGGTTTATTTGTGCTTTTCTATATAAGAACTATTAAGATGCCCAGTGAACGTTGAAAATAACTTCAACGACGCCAAAGAGCTTCATGTAAAGTATTTTATTCAGTCATATTCTACACAGACTTTCGAACAGACGCTACGCAGTTCCTAAATTTTGTGTTTTTTTTTTTTAAATTTTCAAACTAAAAAGAATAAAAAAATATAGTATCCGTGTCAAAATGCAGGCCACAGACATTATTATAGACACGTTGCTGTCCTTCAATCGGCCGGTACATGAGCAGGAACTCATCTGTGAGATGGCCCGTCGCGGTGGTCTAAAGTACGAGGATATGCTCGCATCAGCCGTTCCAATGCGCACCGGATTGCATGAGCTCTGCAAGTTCGGATACCTGCAGCAGACGGAACCGGGCTGGTATACCATGATGCCGCTACAAGTGAACCGTATGCCGTTGGGTGTGAAGCAATCGGAATACGATTACAGGCGCATGTGTGACGCCTATCTGAGGGGGAGTTCATGCAGTCCCATGGTGGAGGACTGCTTTGGGGATCAGGAGAGCTTCTTTCAAGGAAATCCAAATTTCAGTACAGGCTTCAACATATTTCCGAATTTTCCTCAAATAGTCACACGCAAGCGTACGGCCGCAGCGAGCCATAGGAAGCCAAACGCCACAAAGAAATCTACTCGGCGTGGGCGTTCCAGAGCGAGTACCGCCAAAACGGCATCTAAGGCACCTAAGGCACCTAAGGCACCCATCAGGAAAAGGAAGCCAGCAGCAAAGAAGCAATCATCGGCAAAGAGAAGGAAGACAAGCAGCAAGTTGCCCGTGCGCGTATTACGCAACTCCATCAAGGCGCCGAAGCAGTTGGCCAAAAGAGTCACTCCCCAATCAACTGTGGTTATTGATTGAGCCGAGTCGAGCAAATTATAAAAAAAAACCTAACATATTTTTTGAGGTATACAAGTATATGTAGAGACTGCTGTTATAATGAATGATAAAAATGCAACGAATATAGAAATAATTTTCGATCCATCCCTCTTAATTTTAATTCAATTGCAATGAGAATATTATTTATGTCAATTTGATTAACTTTTCGCCTAGGCCTCTCCAAGTTGACTCTCAACGACCTCGAGCCCGCCCTACAGTTCTGCACGCATTTGGTTTATGGCTTTGCCGGCATTAATCCCACCTCCAACAAATTGGTGAGCAACAATGAGAAACTGGATCTGGATGTGGGCAGCGGTCTGTATCGCACTGTGACCGGCCTGAAGAAGAAATACCCAGCACTCAAGGTTCTCCTGAGTGTGGGCGGTGACAGGGATCAGGTGGATCCCGACAACAACAAATACTTGACTCTGCTGGAGAGCAGCAATGCTCGCATTCCATTTATCAATAGCGCTCACTCGCTGGTGAAGACCTACGGTTTCGATGGTCTCGATTTGGGCTGGCAATTCCCCAAGAACAAGCCCAAGAAGGTGCACGGAGGCATCGGCAAGTTCTGGAAGGGCTTCAAGAAAATTTTCACTGGCGATTTTGTGGTTGACGAGAAGGCCGAGGAGCACAAGGAGGAGTTTACGGCGTTGGTGCGCGAACTGAAGAACGCCTTCCGTCCCGATGGCTACCTCTTGGGCCTCAGTGTGCTTCCCAATGTTAACTCCTCGCGTAAGTGAAACAAAATTGAGATTATTTAGATGCATGTATACCTTCCTGTATTAACGGAATTCGTTTCTGTTTTGCAGTCTTCTACGATGTACCAGCTTTGATCAACAATTTGGACTACGTTAACCTGCACGCCTACGATTTCCAGACTCCCGAGCGTAATCCCGAGGTGGCCGACTTCCCTGCCCCCATTTACGAGCCGAACGAACGCCATCCTGAGGCCAATGTCAACTATCAGGTTCAGTTTTGGCTGAACAATCATGCGCCCGCCTCCAAGCTGAATGTTGCCATTGCCACATGGGGTCGTGCCTGGAAGATGACCAAGGATTCTGGTCTGACTGGTCTGCCACCCGTAGCCGAGACGGACGGCGCCGCACCTGCTGGCCTCCAAACACAAACTGCCGGTTTCCTCAGCTGGCCCGAGGTCTGCGCCAAGCTGCCCAATCCGGCCAATCAGCATCTGAAGGGCGCCGACGGTCCCCTGCGTAAGGTTGGCGACCCAACCAAGCGTTTCGGCAGCTATGCCTACCGCTCGGCCGACGATAGTGGCGAGAACGGTGTGTGGGTGGCCTATGAGGATCCCGACACTGCCGCCAACAAGGCGACATTTGTCAAGGCCAAGGGTCTGGGCGGTGTCGCGTTGGTCGACCTGAGCTTTGACGATTTCCGCGGTGGCTGCACCGGCGGCGAAGAGTATCCCATCCTGCGTGCCATCAAATACAAGTTGTAGATAGATGGCTGATGCAGATGGTCACAACTGTTCGAATCTAGGACAGCACTTTGATTATGACCCAAAGGTACACAATTACGTTTTTTTGTTCAGCTAATTTTATAAATAAACATTATGTAACAAATGAAAATGAAGAAGAAAATGGCACATGCAGCACTTGCTCGTAATTAAGGGGTGGGTTCCGGATTCATTTGTCTTGTGACACTGTCTCCCTATGTCTCTGACTCTGTCTCTGTCTTTGTCTCTGTCTTTGTCTCTGATTTTGTCTCTGTCTCCGACTCCGACTCTGACTCTGACTCTGTCTTCGTTTTCATTTCTTCCGGCGCTTGTGTCAGCTTGCGGTTGCTTGCTGATTGTTTTATGTGCGGTGTTAGTGCTGCTGGCGGAAGCAGCCACAACAACAGCAGTGGCAGTCTCAGTCGCAGTGGCAGTGGCAGTCGCAGTGGCGGTTCAACAGCAACAAGAACAACAGGGTCGGAGGAGCTCGCACTCATTCATCTTTGTGCTGCGGCCATGTTGTTGCACATTGAATGGTCACGCTGTGACCACTTGAACCGTCGTTGGCATTGCTGCTGACACTGACACTGACACCGACACCCACAACAGGCATCGTGGCCTGATGGGATGATGTAGATGAGCACGAGGGGAGAGGCGACGAATGGGGGTGGCGATGATGGCCCCCATAAACTAGAGAGGAACGATACCGTCAACCCAGCGATGTCTTCTATAAAGCGGTGCTGTGATTTCGTATTTGTGATTGCGAATTCAAAACGACGCTGCCAAATGGTTTGTTGGTTAATTTATAGTCAATAAATAGACTTATCTGCACATGTTTTAGAAACTCAAATGTTGTATGCTTTGGAAAAGCTGTGCTGTGCATGCATGCTCCACAACTCGCCTAAGCATACCATTTTTGTCTCGTAAATCTTTATTGAAGACCTGTCCTAGGTTGGACAATTATTAAATTCTATGATCATTTTGTTATTTTTTAATCATGCCTCTGCCATGATGGTTGCTGCGTGATTCTAACCGAGTGTGCCTACTCAAGGAACGAACTCACATTCTTGGATTCCTGCTAGTTCGTTAAGCTATGCCAGGCCCCTAAGCTTACTTGCAGCGTAAAATGAAGGTAATGCCGTTTATCATTATGCCTTAAGTTTGTTTCCAGTATTTCAAATCGGATTATTTTATTAGTTCTCAAGAAGGTTTACGAACGCCATAGGTCTTCTACTACCGATTCGAGCCTATAAACAAAAAGTGTTTATTGAGATGGGCAGAGTCTTCCTAGTCTCTATACAAGTATATCAAATAATTGTATATTTGAGTTTTGAAATGTTGAATGCAATTCGCCTGGTTGGTTGTAAAAAGTTATGTTTTTGAATAAAATAACTTTCAAGCAATGAAGAGAAGAAGAAATTTAATTTAATTAAATGTACATTATAGGGTTCACCAATCTTTGCCCCAACAGACATTTGAAAAAACGGAGATAGCACTTTATCTTGAAACCTTTCGAAGGTACTCTTCTTCAAACCAATATATTCAGGAAAATGAAAAAGCAGAATTTGGTAAACATTTCAGCTTCTCAGCTCTAACATTTTGGTTGGGCGCTGAGCACCCATTAGTATTAGTATTATTAGTTCACTACCAGTGAACATTTGATTTAACCCTCAAGTGCTCTTACATGCACAAAATTGATAACTTTAATCATTTATTTATTTAGTTTAATTTCCCAAATGCGGTGTGACAATTTGTTGCCGAGTCACACAGAATTTGAAATACGTTACTGCATCAACTAATTAATAAATAAATAAATAAATCAATTTATTTAAAGCTTTAATGTTACACATACTTGTATGTAGCTAAAGGCTAACTAAGAAGTGGATGTACATTACGAGTATTCGACCATTTGGCTATAGGCCAGTCATGATTTTTATGATTTATGTAAGTTCGTTTATTGGTCTTATTTTTCAGTGTGACATTCTTATTTGCATAACAAAGTCACAGATTGATAAATATCGGCCATCGCTGCCATGGCTTTCTGCTGCTGTTGCTGTTATTGCTGCTGTTGTTGTTGTTGTTGGACCGTCTCTTTCTTTGCCTGCTCACTTTATCATTTGCAAAATTGCAAAATGCAACCACAAAGCCATAACCGAGCGCATACAAAGTATATTTTAGAGCGCACCAGCTCCCGCAATCCACAAGCAGCAGCAGCAGCCAAAATACATGCATGCCAAAACGTAGCACGCATACGCACTGTTGGCCGGAACTGTGGATGCCACCCTCGACCCTCCTCCGCACCAATCCGTCTGTGCGTCCGTCGACCGACCGCTCTGTCTGCGTGTGCAGTGCTTTGAGGCAACATGAACTGGGCGCTGTTGATTTAGTTCTCGGTTTGCAAAAAGCATAGAATTTTGGACAACAGGAGCACTTGCAGCTGCTGTTGTTGCTATTGTTGCTATTGTTGTTGTTGTTGCCCGTATCACACTGGTAGCAGCAGCAGAAGCAACAAAAACAACAACAACAACGAGAACAACAACAGCAGCAGCATAAATCTCATGTCATACAAAACGATATTTCTCGCACGTTGCGCTGTGCGTGCATGTGTCGAGTATTTTGGAGGCAAGTAGCTGCTGTTGATGATGATGTTGCTGATGCTGCTGATAATAATGTTGATGTTGCTGCTGCTGCTGCTGCTGTTGTTGTTGTTGTTGTTGTTGATGCTGATGATAATCTTGCCGTTGTTGGTGCTGCTGTTGCAGCAGCATTTGTTGTTGGTGCTGGCCATGTTGACCAAAATGCCGTTGACAATGACTTCACTGCTCTCTGCAGGGGGCCTCGTTCGCATTGCACATGCAATTAGTCAGCCACAAAATAACAAGTTGCCGTGTAAAGTGACCGGCAGCCCACTGAGCAATTGTCAGTGCCACTCTACCCTCTTCCCTCTTCCCACCCCTCTCTCTCACTCTCTCTCTCTCTCTAAGCAACAATTGGGGGACAGACAGTGCTGCTTCTGCTTCTGCTGACCAAATTATTGAGCAGTTTGATGGCTGCAATGTTCACATTGCATTGAAGTTTGCAATCTACCCCAGCAGTGCACCATTCTTTCCGCTCCTCATCTAATGGCAACCATCAGCGCCCATGTTTCATGCGTGCCGCATGAGCTGTTAACAATTATCGCAGCCATTGCCATTGCCGTTGCCGTTTGGCAATGCGCTCGTTTATGCTCCACATCGATGGAGCTGGCTGGGGTCACCAAAGGCGCTCAAAACGCAGCGCACGCAACGTGAAGCGCACGCTCCTGTGCTGGGCCAGATGATTTCAGCCATTCCCAATGAGTTCATAACAATTACTTCAATGGCAGCAAGCAGACAAACAGAAAAGCAGTCAGACAGACAGACGGACAGACAGACAGACACGTTTGCAATTGCTGCACGGTTCCAAATGACTCTCTTATGCTCGTTGTCGCTCCGGCTATTGGGGGTCTGAATGCTGAATCAGCAGCCGTTGGAAAGAGTATGAGGAGGCGAAAAAAACCTCATTCGAAAAAGAACCGACTTGAGACCCAAAACAATTTACACGGCACATGCACAAATGCTTGTCTGTGTATTGTGAGTTGCTCAAAAGCAGCGGAAAGCACAATTTTTGGTTTATCTAAAAATATATTTTTTCCTTCTAGTTTCTACTTCTGCGAAGCTATAGTCGGCTAGGAAAAGAATCAGAAATGCATGTTTGTAGATATTTGAATCGCATTTGAGATTTAAACCAAGAACTTCAAGTCGGTTCACTAAGAGATTGTATAGAGTATTTCTATAAATAAGTCTATTTAGAAGTTTTTTAAGTGCACCTTCAAGGCCATTTATACCAGATAAACAAGGTTATAACATAATACAAATCGTATGGCATTAGATATTTCCCAATTAGTTTATATATTTTTTTTTTTCACCAAATAACAGTCAGTGAATAGTAATAATTGTTGTGAAACAGTTTTTAATTTGAAAATAATTATAAGACACCTCAAAATTTGTATTTTCAAACCTATGCTATGCCTCGCCTAAGTCATTATTATTTGTGTAATTAAATTTGATTCGAATTGATAAAAGTAATGTTTGCCTGCTTAACAAAAATGTCTGGGGGAGCGAGTGGAACAATCTGTTGGATAAGATCTCAAAACAAAGTAAAAGAAAGAAATACATAATTAAAAGGGCATCCAACGATGCTCCATCTCCACTATCGGGACTAATTATGAAGTCAATATACATATTAATATAAGAATAACTACCCAGCATCAAAGGTTGCAGGTTTGATCTAAAAATCCTAAAATTTCTAGTTTATATAAAAAATCAGAACATCGGATAATAATCGAATATTTTCGCTGCTTCCTCATATAGCCATTGAGTAGAAATAAACATGAAGTGGATTTTGAATATTAACGATAGTATCGATGCTGACGATACTTCTATTGGGTAAGACTGTTTAAATTAAAAAATTCTGTATACCCCACTGGCAGCATTGTCTTTGACAGTCCTGTTGCTTAGTGTCCTGTTGTTTAGAGCAAACGTGAAAACCTGTACATCTATAAAAAATATAAAAAGAATAATTTAGAGAAATCTCCATTTTGTTTTCAATAAAATAGGAAATCTTAGACGTAAGTATTAAATGAAATTGAAACCAATTGGTTTGGTTACCCTAGAATATATGCATTCAAATCTGCGGGTGCACTCACAGGACTGACCACAAGCTCAATAAAATGTGTTTTCTCTTTTGACGCTGCTAGAACTATGACGAACCAAGCCGCATCCACATCCAAGGCTGCCTTTCTGAAGCTGCTGTGCCTTACCAGCGACAATGACAAGATGGAGGTGCTCCGCCCCTTCAATCCCACTGCCTACGGCTTGAACGCCACCTTCCGCTTGACGCGCTTCTCCGATGCGAAGGGCACTGTTTGCAAGGTGTCGCAGGGAGTATTGGCGAAGCTGCTCTCGCCTCTGCGTGCGGCCGGTCCCACCGCAAATCTGAAGACGAAGTACGCGGACCAACGCCGCTTTGGGATAGGAACGGACTGTTCGGTCACTCCGCTGCGTTACGGCGTCTCCTTGGTGGAGACCACCGATCTCTGCTACCCCATCATTGACGACCC